CCGTTAAATCCTTTTAATTAATTATTTAAATCATTAAAAATTACATATATAATACTACATATGTGTTTAGAGAGATTTGAGAGTAGTACATAAGCACATAGTCACATACATACAGAGACTGACGTATATTAGCAAAACATTATTTTAAAATCTCATTTAGGAATGAACATATTTTTAATGACAATACATTTAAATAATTAGTGATAACAAATATTTTCTATTAAAAATCAATGACTCAGCGGGCGGGTGTGGTTTTATGCATACCGTTCCTGATCCACCCATTACCATCTCTGATTTTGAGACACCTAGAAAGAAAATATAGACAAAAAAAATGGGATGGAGACACATGTTAGTATTAGCTTATTACTCCGCTATTATTATAACCTTAGCATGTTTGTGCCAGGCATTCGATCTGCTCACTATGAAGACTGATGAAATGGATTTCACATCTATAGTAGAATTGGAACTACAGAATGCAGCCTCTTCCCTTGACAGCTCTTTGTTGGAGTCAAAACCTATAATAACTACTTGGTGTTATGGACTTGTCTTATGGTTCGACACTGGATTCACAGATAGGTTCTGTAAAGAAATGCCGACAAATCTGTCAACGTCTCCATACCAGCCAACAACACACTGGTCACAGACCTTACTGACCTTCCGAGAACCAATTGCAATGTCATTAGGAAGTCCATCACCATCTCCATCATCATGTTGTCATGGCGACGGTGGCAAGTTAGAAGCACTAGGTACTGATGCCTCTCCGGCTGTAAGAATACAATCCCGCATTAGTATCGCGCGTTCGATTCAGCATCGCAGCATTGACATCTCCATGGAGGTTACAGCAGTTGGTCGTGATGGGAGAAAACGCAGTTGGCCAGGTCAACTATTTAATTTATAATTATAGTGGTAATTTTGGGCTCAGTTTTAATCCAAGCCCTAAGAGAGGGCCGTTTTCGACTTCATCCTATACCACCAAACATTTTTTTGAGTTATATTTCTCTTGTGTTGAAATACATTTAAGTTCTGTTACCTCCCATCAAAGTTACTTATTCTTGCTTAGCCCTGCGCTAGGCTTCCTAGAACTCTAGAAGCATTGGTTAGCTTTTTTGGTGAGCGAGTATAAGTGTATTAATTTAAAAACGTTTTTGTTAGTTATTTACAAAGTTATACATTAAGCATCTTTTGATCAAAGTTACTAACTATTTCCTCTTCATTAATTATTTATAACATCATACTACTATTTAATACTCCGTAATTTTCTTTCCTCAAAAGTAGTAGCTCCTTTTGGGTAGCGTTGGACTCGGTTCGGACCACCCGACCCGGGAACCGGCCTGAACCGGGCACTGGTTCCGGGTCTAGGCCCGGTTTTAGGGTGTAACCGGGGGCGGTCCTGGGATAGGTGAAATGCGAACCAGCCCGGCCGGTTCCGGGCCCGGTTCGGGCCTTTTTATTTTTATTTTTATTTTTTTTGGGTTTGGGCTGTGTTTAGTTGGGCTGAGCTGGCTATTTCCGATGGGTTTGGGGGATGGGGGAGGAGATGCAATATATTAGAAAACAAAAAAAATGGAACTGGAACCGGCCCAGCCCGGAATCGGTAGACAACTGGGCCGGTCCCGGGCCTAAACCACAACCATCCAGACCCGGCTGGGCCTAGGCTTGACCCGGACCCTACCCGGTCCCGGGTCCATGACTATTTTTGGGTAATGAGCTTTCTCTAGTTAAAAAACAGTATTCTAATGGTTAGTTACTAGCTTTAAAATTGCAAACAAGTCCTCTAAGTAAATCATTGGAGATGCTCTAAGTAAGTTCAATTTAAAAACGCTGTTAATTAAAAAAATTGATTAATCTTATAAATATTCTTATATATTTGAAAAATGATTTAGGGGGTGTTTGGAATTGATTCTGCTTCTGCTTCTTTTTTTAAGTGAGAATCAGAATCAGAATTTTCTGCTGTTTGAAAAAGTGATTCTATCTGGAGTGTTTGGTATTGATTTTGCTGTATGTAACAGAGAATCAGTTTAGAGTGTTTGGATAACCTTCTTTTAAGAATTGCTTTTGGTGTAAATTTACCAAAAGGGCATATAGTTTCCTTGTAATACTAGGTATAAGGTATAAGGTATAAGGTAATATTGCTTAAATAATATAATCCAAATAAAATTAATGTGGGTTTAGAATTCTCGTTGCAAGAGGCTGCAAAAGGAAAAAAACGATAGGACAAACCCAATACTCATGCTTTTAATAAAATAGGGGAATAAAAAAATTAAACCCAAATTTTAGAATAGACGAGAAGAAAAGAGTAAAGTCGGGTGGATGGTGGTTTACATTGGCTGTGGATCGGAGAAGAGTAGAGCCAGCTGGATGGCTGTGGATCGGAGAAGTGAAACGCCGGAGAAGAGCTGGCTGGATATTGTGCTTTGTGTAGGTCGGAGGAGAAGAAGCTCAAGCTCGCAAGCCCTGCCTAATTCGATGTGGTGTGCTAGTATATTGATTGAGTGCATTTTGGGAAGAAAATTAGAAGAAGCAGAATCTGTTTTGGAGAAGCTGCTACTACCCAGCTTCTACAAAAGTGATTTTTCAGCCATCTAAAAGCACTTTTAAAATCAGATCCAAACACCCAAGAAATTGATTCTGCTTCAAAGTGCTCCTTGGTACAGCAGAATCAGTTTGTAAAAGCGGTTCCAAACACCCCCATAGTAATAGTATAAAAATAGTACAAAAACAGTCGGCAACTGCTGGAGAGCCGAGAAGAACAAATTGGGATAAAATTCAAAATTCAAGATTGCTTAGTTACATTTTTAGAAAAAACTGTTATAGTATCTAAGCCTCTAAGGTACTGTACTCAAGGAGTGTTTGCACTTACTTAAAAAAAGTGGTTTTAGTTTTTGGATTAAAAAAAGTTGAAAAGAGTGTTTTCAAATGACAGTTTCTGCTTAAATTAATCACTTAAAAGCTTAAAGCTGGAATTAGGTGGAAGGGGGCTTTAAACTGCTTTTCACTTTTTCTATTACACAAAAATCACTTATCTTACCAAACACAACCAATTTTTATTTTTTGAGGATCACTTTTTTCTCAAACACTACCAACTTTTACTATTAAGTACTTTCTCCAAAATCACTTTAAAAAATTCACTTTTTTAAAATAGATGCAATGGCAAACACTCCCTTAGTTTCTAAGGAGTTTGGACTTACGAGCACAGAAAAACAGCAAAAGGAATGAAGGGAAGCCCAAGTGCCCAACCTGATATAAAGGAGAATAAGAAATGAGAATAAAAAAAAGAAATTGAGATGCAAAAGAGGATGAGATTAGGAATCTTGAGGCAATGAAGAAAAAAACGAACGAAAAAACAGTAGACTTGGATTGAGAACGAAGCAATGATTCACATTTGACACTCTATATGGCTGGTGAAAAATAGGACTATTTTTCCTCTAAATGGGACTAAATAAAAGCAAAATTGGAAGAATAGGAGCTTAAGCCTTAAAGTTTAAGTTCCCAAAATAGAACTATCGTTTCCTATTCTACCATTTCCCTTGTCATTCTTAATATGATTTCTTAAATAATAATAATAACACATAAAAAAATAAAATAAAAAAATAAATAAAAAATATACATGCTTCAACCACCACCTCCGGTTGATGGAAAAGAATGCCAAGTTGAAAAAAAAATGTTATCCTGATGACAATTTTGAAAAGAAAGCTAGATATTTTTTATACAAGATGAATTTTTTTCCGACGATCGGAGCTGGTGGTGCTGGGAGGTAGAGGATGTGGAGGTAGTGGCCTACATATTTTGTAATATTTTTTGGTATTTTATTTTATTTGTGTAGATTTTTAAGTTTTTTTTTAAATATATATAGGTTTATTTTTTCTATTTTTATTTCACTTTATTTTTTCTGAATTTATTATTAATTTATAAATATTTTTACGATTTTTTTTATGTTTTTATTATAAATTAAACTATGATTTTTTTATTAATAATTAAATAAATCAATTAGAAATTATAAGAAGGGAGTAGAATAGGAAGAAAATTCATATATTACTCCTATTTTAGGAATAAGATGGTTATAGTTCTATTGTTGAATTAAGGGCTACGTTAAGTCCCATCTAAAACTAATAACTGTTTCTTATTGTTGTCATTGTTCGAGGAGATCGGCGCTGCTGTCATGGTTCGAGGATGCGGCGTTGCTGTCATGGTTCGAGATGCGGCGTTGCTGTTGTCGTTGGAGGAGATCGGCGCTGCCTGTCCGTTTACTCTGGTCGCATGGAGCAAGGATGAGTTTGGTTGTGCATGGACGGAGGATTGATGCCTGGTCTTTGGCAGCTAAAGGTCATGGAGGATCAATTAACATGGTACCGGTGGTAGGACCTCCTCCTGAACCACCACCATGGGTTGTACGAGGTGCTAGAGTCCGTGAAAGTTTTCTAGTAATTTTTATCTGTTTGTCATTTGTTTTCTTGTGCCCATTTTTGTTGTTGGTTTTGACAGTTTGTTTGAGTTTTTAGCCTCTCTTTATGTCATTGGGTATGTTTGGATCTATGGGAACAAGTTTGGCTGTGTCAAGCCCACTACATGATTAGCGATTCGTGTTGCTCTCTCAGGGATGACCTTCTCAAAGTCTGATCATAGGGTTTACAGTTGTAGTTGTTGGAGTTTAGTTGGTGTCAGGTTTATTTTCGTTTTGATTGATGTAATGATCCTGAATCTTTTGATATGAATAGAGGTATGTTTTGATGATAAAAAAAACAGAAAGTTTAAACTGGTCCTATTTTGAAAGAAAAAAAGTTGTCTTAATCCTATTGAGGTAAAAAAAACCATTATTTATTATCTCCATTGCACTAGCTACACGTACACGGTACATGCATGATGCATCACATTAAAAAGGAGAAATTTATATAGTGCTTTGCTTGTTTACTACTTCACGTTGTTGTGGCTTTATACCATGCAGTGATTCCAAGCTGCCCATGCAAGCATTACTACACCATGCATCACTCTAGCTAGCTACAAGTGCCACAACTGTATGCTTTAGAGTGGCATAAATAAATGTAGTGGTTCAAGCCGCTTTGTATATCATTTAACTTGGCTACAATAATAATAATATAAACAATAATGGCTTCTTGTTTCTTACAACTTCTTCCTACCCTTTTGGCGTCCTCCTTCTTCCTCATCATCTCTGTCACTACTTGTATGGGTCTTTCCTTTTTCCCCAAGGTAATAAAATCTTAATTATACATATATGTCTTAAAGCTGATAAATTGATCGAGTTATCAAAATAATCATGGTTCAAGGATAGTAGGGTTATGTTATATGTTGTGCTAGTGAAGTGATTTTTTTGTCATTTCAGTTTTTTCAAAGCAATCTTATTCTGATATATCTCACACGGAGAATATTAAGTTATCTCACACTGGTTGCTTATAAAAACACGAACTATCCAGGGTCGGAGGTGGAACCGTGGAGGGGTGGCCAACCGGGCCACGACCCAGTCCAAATTTTAAAATTGTTTATATTTTTGATGTAAAAATTTATGTGTAAAAATTTATTTGTAAAAATTCTTTGTACCAGCTCAGCCCAACTCTTACTTGTGACTACGCCCCTAACTCAACTATCATATCTTGAACCACTCCTATATATATATATTGATCAAATCTCAAAGTCTTAACAGAAAAAATAGAAAAACGCTATGAAAAAGGGAAAACTTTGTCTTGTCAATGCTCATTTATTGGATTGATCTCTCATCACACGGAGTATAAAAATTTGAGCTTCCCTCACAAAAAGTCATAAAATTTGACTTTCTTATCTTATTGTTGGAAATGATAATATGATATGCAGCCATACATTGTGTACATGGGTGGTGGACCAGAAATGGGCGGTCCTCTTGCTGAAACTTATTCAGAGTATTTACATCTCCAGATGTTATCCTCTGTGATATCGAGGTATGGTTGTTATCAAATTAATTTTGGTCAAAATTTATTCGGTGACGATATTGACTAAAGGCCTATATTAGACATTCGGAGCCCGTTTGGTAGCACGAAAATCGGCTGATTTGGCTGTTTCTGCTAAAATTTATGAAATTCTGGCTGAAGTGGCTGCATTGGCTGATTTACCTACTGATTCTGCTGATTTAAGAAAAATAATTTTTAAAATATACTCCCTCCGATTTTATTTAATCTTCACACTTTGACTTCACACAAAATAAGGAAATAAATTTGACTTTACTGTAGAGTACACTGTTGAGGCACTGTTTGACACTGTTTGGCACTGTAGAGACACTGTTTGGCACTGTTTAGACACTGTTTGGCACTGTTTGACACTGTTTTGATGTAGATTTCTTTGCCAAAAAAGGAAATAAGGAAGTGTGAAGTTTATTTTAGACCGTCCCAAAAAGGAAAGTGTGAAGTTTATTAAAAACCGGAGGGAGTATATTATTAATAAAATATAGAAAAAAATAGATATAAAAATAGCTAAAATGATCATCTACAGTAACTTCAGCCAATACAGCCAGAAAAGTAACTCCAACCTTACTTTTTATGCTTATTACCCAATTCAGCGCGCGAAAGCAAAAGTTACGTGTTTGGTGAAAAAGCTGGCTGATAAGCCGAAAAACAGTGGTTCTAAACGGCCTCTTATTGTACTCTTTTTGAAAAAGTAGGAGTTTTTTTTGGTACTGTAGCAGTACTGTAGTAGCACTGTAGCTGCTTTTTGAGTGGATTTATTTGCAAAAATAGAAGTGAGACAATCATTTTGATACACCCAAAAAAAGAAAGTGTGACAATAAAAGTGATAAAGAGGGAGTATATGTTGAGTAACCATACCCTTGATTCCTTGAAGGCCCCTTTAACTTTTGAAAAGTTTTGGATTCAAGTGCATAACTTAGTTGTGGGATTTATGACTCAATAAAGTACCCAAAGTAATTGGAGACTATTGATCCATTTTAGCGTAACAGGATAGTGATTAATTGTGGATGAATTTTAGGAGTCAGTCATTACATAACTTCTTCGTAATGGTGGTTTGAGTAACCCACAGTTTGTTTGAGTTTTTAGCTTCTTGGTCTTTTCGTTTTTCTTTTCAATTTCTTTATATTACAAATAAATTTTGAATCATCACACAAAATGATAGACATTTGGTCCTGTTACTGACTATCTTCTTTTGCGAGTACTTTAACTTTCTAGTCTGAATACTATGTATATATTATTTCATAACTGTTAAAGTTTAATCTAATATGGTGTAGTTTTGAACTAATTTGGCTTAATCTAGTTTAATTACATATATATCCTAATGGTTTGATCAATGACTATTTTTTTGTCAATAATGAATAGCATATTCACAGACAAAATATCTTTTGTCTGTGAACGGGCTATACACAAACAAAAAAGCCTCCACCAAGATGTGTATAAGAGTGCGTGGGAAACCAAAAGAATATATAATTGTTACGCTTAATGACTGCGTACAACAGTACAAAAAGTCATGTTGTAAAAATGGTATTCCCTAAACCATCCTTTATTTTGCTACGCTTAATGACTGCGTGGGAAACCAAAAGAATATATAATTGTACTCCGTACGATTTGTGAAGGGGGGCAAAGTTTTTTCGAAAGGAAATAACTTATATTATAAATATCAAATAACTAAACCTCGATCTCCACAACCACAATAAATAAACCAAGCCTCCCTATGAGTAGGGATGGACTCGGGCCCGGCGGCCCGGCCCGGAACCGGCCCGGCCCGGAACCGGCCCGGCCCGGTTACTGTTTGAACCGGCCCAGCCCGGCCCGGGAACCGGTCCGGGGGACGGTTCGGGTCGGCCCGGCCCGGTTACTGTGCGGTTCGGGCCCTTTGATTGGCGAACCGGCCCGGCCAGTTCGGGCCAAATTATTATTATTATTATTATTTTTGATTTTTTTTAAGTTTTTGGGTTGGGCTTGGTATTTTGGGCCATTTGAGGTGGTTTGGGGTGGTTTGGGGGTGAGGGGGGAGGGTTGGGGGGTTAATTAGGAAGAGCCAAAAAAAAAAAAAATAGAACCGAGGCCCGGCCCGGCCCGGACCCGGGATTACCCAGGCCGGTTCCGGGCCTCCCATTTCTGAACTGAGGCCCGGCCGGGCCCTGGCCCGAACCGGGCCCGAACCGGAACCGGTCCACCCATACCTATGAGACTCCGCGTAGCCAAACGGACCTCAGGAGGGGGTGGGGAGGCAAAGTTGCAAAGTATCATTCTTAGATTCTTTATCAAAATTGATTTAGGTACGGGAAAAGTAAAAACATTTAAAAGTTCTAAAATAGAAGTGCTATATATTTGCTTCATAAATATGGACAATCAAACTTAAAAGTATTATTATGTTTAAAATCCAATAATGTCAAAATGTGAGTATAATTACTCTTATTTAAAGAAAAAAACATAATTTCCTTTTTTGGAATTTTCAAACATTTTACTACTATTTCGAAATTTCCTCATTCTATATATATTTGCCCATTTTATTCTATGCAGAGAGGAGAGTCATCGAATATCAATTTTACAAACGTACAACCATGCTTTTGGGGGATTTGCTGCCATGCTTACGGATCAAGAAGCTTCTGCTTTGTCCCGTACGTCCCAATGTTATTTGGTGGGGTTGAGCTAGGTGTACACAAAATGCGTACACCTTTTTTTGTACACTTGTCTATCCCCAGCAGAAAAGTTATCTGTCCACAGACAATTTACAGGGTTATATGTGGACAGACAACTTGTCTACTAGGGATAAACAAGTGTACAAACCACGCATTTTTCTATTTGGTGTATGCATGAACCTGATTTCAGTCCAAGTAGGTTTCAGCCTCCGGTTCCGGTCCCGGACCTACTGGTCTCGACCTCTCGGGTGGTAATTAGGACCCCGATCCAGTTCTCAGTACCCGACCAGTCCCAATCCCAGTTTCAGATCGGACCAATTAATTTCTTTTAAATAATTTAATCATTTGGAATTGAAATCGGGGCTAGGACGGTCCGGTTCTTATACCAAATGCTGGAAATTGGGACCGAGTATTGGATATAGGGTACCTGGTCTTCATCAGAGACTGGAAAAATGGACCCGGTCTGGTCCCGACTCCCGAACAGTATCGGGCCAGAGTGCCAAACTGCCGGACCGGGTCATGCCTAATTTGGTACAACGCTTTTATCTCAATGTACTTTCCTTAGTAAATTATACTCCGTACTCTGTATGAAATTGTTTAATTGATTCATTTATCATTGGTAATGAGTTCATATTTCTATTATTCCAACAATTTAGAAAATATCAAATGTGTGGTCTATTTATATATTATATATAAAAAGAAATAGGAGTAACTCATAAAAATATAATTTTACCCTTAATGAATCATATGTGTCAAGCTCTCTATAATTCATTCATTTTCTATAAGAATGCACGTGACCTTTTTCACTCCAGCAAAGGAGTGGTGGGCACACGGAGATGTATTTGGTGGGAGTAATAATTTAAAATGTTTTAAAATGATACGAGTATAACTTTTTCACGTTTGCTCCAATTTTTACAAAACATAGATCAAAATTTAGAAAATAAATACTCCCTATTATTTACGGAGTATATGTTAGCTAAGTAATTAAGGAATTTGATCCAATTTAGCTAAGTAATTAAGGAATTTGATCCAATTTAGCTAAGTATACTTTACCATTTGATTATTAGGTCATAATGAGGTGGTCTCTGTATTTCCTGATGCGGTTTTTGAGCTCCACACCACACGGTCATGGGATTTCTTAGGAATGGTGGAATCTTATAGCAACAATAAATCATCTTATTATTACAGAAATGGGTCAAGTAATGATGTCATAATTGGACTCATTGATACAGGTAATAATTAAATTTAGAATTACATTCTTATATCCATTTAGAGCCCGTTTGGTAACACGAAAATCGGCTGATTCTGCTGAAATTTATGAAGTTCTGGCTGAAGTGGCTGCATTGGCTGATTCTGCTAATTTAAGAAAAAAAATATTTTTAATATATATTTTATTAATAAAATAATGAAAAATTATACGATATAGTATATAAAAATAGCTAAAATGATCATCTACAGTAATTTCAGCCAATACAGTCAGAAAAGTAACTTCAACCTTACTTTTTCTTATTATTACACAATTCAGCGCACGAAAACAAAAGTTACGTGTTTGATGAAAAAGTTGGCTGATAAGCCTGAAAAACAGTGTTACCAAACGACCTCTTAGTCCATATTATAATAAAAAAAGACAGTTCTATCTAATAAAAATTGGACATGGGTGAATAGAACCGTCCAATATTGATCTTGTATATGGTCTCCATAATTGGACAATATTAAGATGTTTTATTTTTTCTAATAGCATTTTTGGGTTACATAAACAACATTATTATTATTCCTTTTAAAGGAATATGGCCCGAGTCACCCAGTTTCAATGACGAAGGCATTGGGGAAATTCCAGCAAGGTGGAAAGGGGTTTGTATGGAAGGTTTTGCCTTCACTAAATCAAACTGCAACAGGTGATGATCATAAACTAATACGTAGTACGATAATGGTTTCAACATATTATTGTTTTTTCTTAACTTCTTTAATGTTTGAGTTCTCTTATATTTGAAGTCTAGGAAGTTTATTTTTCAGGAATGGCAAAGATAGTTTTCCTAACGTATCTACACCCAAATAATGATGACAATGGTCAATGACCACCTTGGTTGAAGGTTGAAGGTTATCGACCTCAATTGCCCACTTATTTGAAATAACAAAAACTTGTCATTTTCGTCTACACTTTCACACCAAACACAAGGAAGTTTATAGATTACACACTTCACTATTCAAGTAAGGGTGTTCAAATTTCCTTACTTGACTTCATTTTCAAACCTCTGAAACTTTAATGTAGTTTAAAAGTATAATATGATTGACATCAATTCTAATTAAGAGATCGCATTTCATAATAGATGTACTATATCCTCGAGGGCTTTTAGAAATGTCCAAACGCTCGTTAGAAAAGTTAAACTAAATTATAATCAGATTGATAGATTGTGTGACCTGGATTTGGTATCTCGTAATCCAGGTAATTGATGAGCAAGTTTACATCAAATGTTGATTCCTGTCTTAATTGAATACACCAAGATTTCACAAATTCCAAAATGTCTTAAATAAATACATCCGGGAAGTAGACTATAAATCTGAAGAAGATTGTCAGTTTGCCATAATATTTTTTTCATGTTACAGAAAATTAATAGGTGCTAGGTTCTACAACAACCTTGAGGAGACGCTCAATAACAAACCAAAATTTCATGGCAAATCTAAAGGCTCTCCAAGAGATTCTGTTGGCCATGGAACTCATACTGCTTCCATTGCTGCCGGAGCTACCGTCGGTAAATTCTTTCCCAATTAATAATTGACAATAGTTGGAAATAAACAAGAACGAAAAACACCATTTTTTTTCATTAAAATGAATATTCAGACAGTTTCTGCAAATTTTCCATAATCATAATTCTACAGAAAAAGCAAATTATTTTGGACTAGCAAACGGGACTGCAAGAGGAGGGCTACCCTCAGCAAGAATCGCAAGCTACAAGGCATGTTCAACGTCGGGCTGCTCTGGCTCTGCCATACTCAAGGCGATCGATGACGCTATCAAGGATGGAGTTGACATCATTTCCATTTCAATCGGCTCCTCCGACTTTCAATCCGATTTCCTCCGAGACCCTATTGCCATTGGAGCTTTCCACGCTTCACAGAGAGGCGTCACGGTGGTCTGTTCCGCAGGGAATGACGGACCCTACCCGAGAACCGTCACCAACACCGCCCCGTGGATCTTCACCGTCGCCGCTTCAACTATCGATAGGAAATTTGAAACAACCGTGCTACTCGGAAATAGGATGTATTTTAAGGTATATGGTTCAGCACGGACATTAATACTGAGAAGGAATGAACATGACTTTGTTAATGTAATCTTATTGCTATAACAGGGAACTGCCGTTAGTGTCTCTCTTTCTGGCCACCCTAGCAGCTACCCTCTCGCTTACGCGGAACATGTAGCTGCAGACCCCTCCTTAAGATCCGGGGCTAGGTGAACTTGTTGAGCCCTTTTCTTTTGCACACAATGTGTTTGAAATAAGAACTGAAGAATTTTCACTGGCTCTATGGCTTCTTTTTTTGAAGGATTTGTGCACCTGGAACGCTAAACACAACAGAAGTCACCGGGAAAATAGTTGTGTGTATGCATGATGATCTAGCTGTCTCCAGAACCATCAAGAAGCTAGTTGTGGAAGACGCTGGAGCAAAAGGTCTCATTTTGATAGACGGTTTTGAGAACAGTTCTCCATTTGACTCAGGAGCATACCCTTTTGCAGAAGTTAGAAAAGATTTGGGTTTTCAGATCTTGAAGTACATTAATACCACCAAGTAATCAAGAGTATTTATTAATAAAAATTAATTTGTTAACTTTTGGTAATAATAATAATAATTGAATGATATTAACTCACACTCTCAATGTATAGGTACCCAATTGCCACAATATTTCCCGCAAAAGAAGTTCGCAACATTAGGCAGGCTCCAATAGTTGCAGATTTTTCTTCAAGAGGTCCTGCTTCGCTCACACAAGATGTTCTTAAGGTAAAACTCTCCGATTTTAAAATGCAGTACTCTCTTTGTCTAAATAAAGTAGTCATGATTCAAACACCTTTTTTGATTCGAATGAAGAGACTAATCTGATCAAACCAATCTAATTGTTGATGGAATTTACCAAATTTGCCAAGGAGTCTTACACAAGTTTCATATGCGAAGTTTAGTTGAATCAAGTAATCAACAAATAAATTATCGAAGTATAATGTGATCAGCGATTTACAGCAGTTGTACCTTTCCCAACATTTTTACATTGGTCAAGCATGACTTTGTTGGGGACATTGGTAGTAGTATACTAGTATGTATTGTAGCATTGCTTCTAGTAGTGTGATGAATATGTTATAATGTTAATAGTTAATAAAAAAGGTTTATACTTGTATAGCCTGATATAATGGCTCCGGGTGTATCGATATTGGCTGCAACTGTCCCTGATGAGACCTTAACTTCCACGGAGCCGTCTTTCTTCAGCATCACATCTGGGACATCTATGGCTTGCCCCCATGTTGCTGGTGTTGTGGCATTCGTAAAATCCGTACACCCCAAATGGAGCTCGTCAATGATCAAATCTGCAATTATGACAACAGGTATAAAATTATGTACTTGTAAGTTGTATCATGTACTAGTCAGATAAATGCTCTCTAAAGCTCTAGTTCTCATTAGTGAGGAAAGCAGAGGAAATTTTTTGGAAAGGAAATATGGGGGGAGACTGGTTCAAACTCAATAAAACGTTTTTAGATATTTGTTAAAATGAATTTGATCCTCTCAAGAAAACTATCTTAGTCATGTTTTCAAATTAATTTTATGTACTGAGATATTGTCTGACACCTCCGTCAAGGTCTGTTACTTTGATACAATATTACAAAGACCCCTGTATTATTAAAACAGCCGTGATTCCCTGTTAGTAATACACTTTCTAGGGGTATACATTTTCAAATTTAATGGGATGTTGATGTATATACTACGTATTTAAAACCACAGGGGGCAAAGTGACTATATCTAATAGTGTAGGGGCCTTTGGTAGAATTTATCAACCTAGATGGGGATCACAAATGTAACTCTTTGATTTATTTAATTATACTCGGTATGTCATATAAAGGCTAAGAAATTTACGTACATTCAAAAAACTAAAATGTCACTTTTTTTTAATAATAAAACAAAAACAAAGAAAGTAACTTGCGTAGCAATTTTCGGGTTCCAAACGTACCCTAAAATAAATGGTTTCAAGAAACCGATTCCTATTTCTTGATCCATAGATAGGATACATAAAAGTTTATGGTGCTATTATTTTTGTTGTTTCATTGCATTGGTAGCATCGATATCAAGCAACAATGGAAACCCATTGATGAACACTTCAAATTTCCAAGCAAATCCCCATGAAATGGGTGCTGGGGAGATCAATCCAACCAAAGCTCTTGATCCAGGCTTGGTGTTCGAAACCCGAACCAGCGATTACCTCAACTTCTTATGCTTTTATGGCTACCAAGAGAAACACATCAGAGCAATATCAAAGACAGCATTTGAATGCCAAACTAATGGTACTGCCCGGAAACTTGTCCCAAACATAAATTTCCCTTCGATCTCCATCGGTGAACAAACCCAGCAGGAAGGTGTCACAACTGTCAAGAGGGTTGCCACCAACGTGGGCCCCACGGATGCTGCTTATGTTTCTTCTGTTGTTGCTCCGAAGGGTTTGAATGTTAAGGTTTCTCCCAAAATGATTGTTTTTAATAAAGGAAAGAAGAAATCGTCTTTCTCTGTCTCATTTGATGGTAGGAAAGCCTCGAAAGGGTATCACTTTGGAGCTATTGTATTGTCTGATGGAGTTCATGTAGTTCGGTTAGTGTTTGCTGTAAATATTGCGAACTAAAAAAATCACAACAGTTAGATTTTGTATGACGTAGTATTAATGTATAATGCAGCATACTAAAAGATGCATCGTACTAAATTACAGGTATTTTAAGTGGCAATGAAATTGTGCCAATCTTATGCTTTGCTAGTAGAATTTCATTCTTACTTTTATACAGCATTTTATTTTTGGATACACTTAAATATCTAATTCCATGATTTCTGCTTATCCTAACTCTAATAATAATAATCTCTAAAAAGTTGATGTGTATGGTGATAGTGAATTATATGAGCCACATTATTTTTCTTATGAGGTTTCTTGATGATCTTACGTGGAGCAAAATGAAATATATTGTAGATTGTAGTGCTAAAATCACGAAAACGAAATAGACAAAAAAATCAATCTTCGCAGAGTCTAAAAATATGTTTAGACCTATTTTGAAACAATTTCTCTCCAAAGTGATAGAAGTTTTAAAATTTAAAACCGATAAGTAGATAAAGCATAACTTTTAGAATATTTGTATTGATTGTTTTATTATAGATGTAGCATTATTTGATTTTATCAAATGAAGCTAATCTTTTCATTAAACTTGCAAAAAAGAAAAAGAAAGAATTATTTGTAAGCAACTTAAATATGATAAATTTATAGTTAAACCATCAAATAAGTTTAGAATATTTGAATCCATAGTTCATAGCTTTTAATAGTTTTAATCTGAAAGCTCTTATATAATTTAAACTTTAAAAAAAAAACTACTTAACTAGTCACATTTTTTGGGGCGGATGGAGTATAATTTTTATCCTACTGCTTATTCTGATGGTGTTACATGATATTCTAATTCATCATGTATTAAATTTAAAATTTAAGACTGATATAAATGGAAATAATTACACAAGGAAAGTGTTGGGATATATTATCCCGGCCTATTACTGTTCAGAAGCCCAGGACATCATCCAGTACGGAGCCCGAGCAGCTAGGCCCATTTAGGCCCAATATTGGCCCGTTTGGCCCATTAGGGTGGGGAGCCCCTTCTCTCCTTTCCCCTATAAATACGGAGCTTAGCCTCCATGTAAAGGATCTTTTTTCCTTCTTCCTTCTCCCTCCTTAGTTAGCTTACAAGACTCCATTAATGGGAGCTCAAATTGTACTGTGTAATGGTGAGGAGAGTCCTAATGAGAATTGAGAGGGCTTGGACATTAGCCTAAAAAGTCCCGTGGTTTTCTCCCTTTCGGGTTTCCACGTAAAAACTGAGTTGTTCATACACATTTATACATATATTTACTATATCGTGTTGGATAAAACTCAACACTGGCGCCGTCTGTGGGAATCTGTCCAAAAAGATTCGTGTGTTCTACTGTTCTTGAGTTTCTACGAAAAACTCATACGAAATGGACTGATTTCAACAAAAACAACAACAAAGAAATGATTCTGGGAAAAGGAGACGTCCGTGAGATATGAGAGTTGCAGATCTGGAATTTCAGAAGTCTGGGGCCGCCGGAGCTCTGTCAGAGACCACGCTGCCGCCGTGAACCATTCGCTGCTGCTCCTTGGCTAGCTGTAAGTCCAAATCTGGATTCTTTCCAGATCTTACTCGAGGTCGCCGGAGCTGCCGTCACCGTCCCTGCCGCCGTCGAACCGCCGGTGGATTTACCTGCACCAGACGAAATTCTCCGCAGCACCCCGGATCTCATTATCCTCGTTCCTAGTGAAGCTCCGTCTGCAACACGGGACCTCGCCACCGGCAGCCGGTTCTGCCGCCCGAGCCGCCACGCCACGCTCGTCCTCGGCGGCCCACCGTATGCCGCTCCCCCAACTGGTCGGTCTCTGTTTGAGCCATCACCAGCCATTCCCCCGACGCGGTGGCCTGGGGGGTATTCTGACCGGGACCTCTTGATATCCGCCGTTAACGGTGGCTTGGAGCTCAGGGAAAGCATGTTTCGTATTCGACCTTTTCTCTACCGGAGACAAGCTCTCTGGTCGCCCCTGCTCCGCTGCAACGACCCCCACCGCTGGCAGAGAGTGGCTGGCACGTACTAACTGCGCCTGGGTTAGTAGACGGGTCTTCCACCTGCCTTCTCCGAAAAGATATACTCCATATAAATTGTTATGGCTTCGGGAGGACCACGTCCGCAAGGTGGGAAAACAAATGATGGAAGGTCACTTTCCTTGTTGAGAGTTTTGACCAAGTCAACATTGCAAAAAAGGAACCAAATCTAACTCTACAAGTTTGATGACCGAAGCTCCTTCTCAAAGAAGCTAAGTACCTATAACTTCTAAATTGGTACATTAATTATTAAATGTTTAAAATGTTAGAAGCATGGCTACTATTATTCTTTATCACCATTATTTATTAGGGAATAAAATCTCCCGAAATTAAATAATGTCGAGCGATGCTCTAGTGATAATTAATTCCACCATCATTTTAATTAATGACTGGTTGTTGTGGGCCCGTCGGCCCACTCCCGATCGGCTTTAATTAGCGAACGGAGGGTATCTGAATGGCCTTTAGTAGGATAGTATCATTACTATTACATGTTATATCACTATTATTTATTGGGGATAAATGTCCCGAATTAAATAATGCGGAGCGAGGCTCTAGTGATAGTTAGTTCGGCCAATATTTTATTGAATATTTAATTTTTTGTGGGGCCTGTTGGCCCACTCTCGATCAGCTTGATTAAGTGATCCGAGCGTCCCCGGAAGGGCGATGCCCCGACGACGCATTTTAATTTGAGGGGTGCGCATTAATCCGCATGGCACTACGTGCCCGATCGACGATCATACCCCAATGTAATCCGCGCCGCTAGGCGCGAAGTGACTATTGCCAAACGCGGCCTGTGGGGCCCCAAGGGCACCAGAGCGCTCGGCCTCATGTTTCCGAGGGCGGTGCGACCAACTTGGGTCTGAGTTTGAAAACTCACAGACCAATGAGTATTTCTATGTGACGTTCGGCGGGCTGCTAATTGGCCTCGCCGCGAGCTGCTACGTCCCTTAACCCCGCACGATGAGCCGGGCTGAGGGTCACGATGACCCATAGGCCGGTAATCGTGGATGTTAAAGAGAAAGCCATGCAGATGGTTATGTGTGTATACATATTGTCGGGCCGTGCGGCTCGTTACCATGTTTATTGCGCAGCTGAAGCCACTCGATGCGCTCGAGCGAAATGATTAAAAGACACTCGGCCCGAGTCTTAAAGACATTCAGGGCCAGCTAAAGAGGAGACCATCATGGCTGAGGACCGTGAGACGAGCATCTCCACCTAGAGGCTGAGGGCCTAGAGGAGACCACCACGGTTGAGAACCGTGGGACGAGCATCTCCACCCCAGAGACCGATGGCCTAGGAAGAACACCTAGAGGCCGAGGGTCTAGAGGGAACTATCACGGCGAAGAACCGTGAGACGATCATCCATCATTCAGAGGCCGAAGGCCTAGAGGAGACCGTCACGGCCGGGGGCCAACCGACATCATCATATCACGACCGGCCTCCCGGCACGGCGTGATTATCATATTCGAAGACCGGCCTCGTCCCCGCCACCTCGCGGACGAGGACCGTTGCTTGACCATATCTTGATCGGCATCTCATTGCCGACGTTATCATACCACGACCGGCCCCTCAGCTCGGCGTGTTCATCTTTTGAAGACCGGCCTCGTCCCCACGCTGCGCGGACGAAGACCATTGCTGGATTTCTTTCTGATCGGCCTTTCATTGCCGACATCACTATATCACGACCGGCCTCTCGGCACGGCGTGATTACCATCTTTTGAAGACCGGCCTCGTCCCCGCGCTGCGCGGACGAAGACCGTTGCTGAATTTCTTCCAGGTCGGCCTCTCACCGCCGACATCATCATATCACGACTGGCCTCTCGGCCCGGTGTGATTATCATATTTGAAGACCGGCCTCGTCCCCGCACTGCGCAGACGAGGACCGTTGCTGGATTCTTTCAGGTCGGCCTCTCATTGCCGACACCATTATACCACGACCGGCCTCTCGGCTCGGCGTGCTTATCTTTTGAAGACCGGCCTCGTCCCCGCCCTCGCGGACGAGGACCGTTGCTTGATTTTCTCAGATCGGCCGCTCATTGCCGACACCATTATACCACGACCGGCCTCTCGGCTCGGCGTGCTTATCTTTTGAAGACCGGCCTCGTCCCCGCCACCTCGCGGATGAGGACCGTTGTTTGATTCTTTCAGGTCGGCCTCTCACTGCCGACACTATCATGTTATGTTCGGCCTCTCGGCACGACATATTTATCTTTTGAAGACCGGTTTCATCCCCGCGTTGCGTTGGATGAGAGCCGTTGCTCGGATATATCGGCCTGACCGGACACTATTGCCATCTCCATTATCAGGACCGACTGCTCAGCGACATTGTGATCATTGTATATCGGCTCCCAATGCCGACCCTCTTGAGTTAGCGATCGGGCTCACCCCTCCCTTCAGGAGGGTGACCATCGCCTTCGCATGACGACCAGCTATTCTATCGCCTCGTCGTTATATTTGTTCGCCATGCCACCACCATTATGTGTGACATCCCGTGATCCCTGCGAGTTTCTTGGATACCGAATGTCTTCTTCGATGTAGGAAGATCGGTAGGACCACGGACCAGGGACGGACAAAGAAGAGCTAGGGAATCTCGATGTAGATAAACCTGTTCCTCCTTGCGAGTTTCGCGGATACCGAACGTCTCTTCGAAGCAAGAGCGCCGGTAGGACCAAGAACCAAGGACGAACGAAGAATATAGATTGCCTCCCTCAAAAAAAAAAAAAAAAAAAAAAAGATGGGGAGAAGAGGAGGGTAGCTCCTATGTGGAAGGGAATCTTGCCCGGGCGTGCCAGATCTTCTCCCACCGCCGAAGACGAACGCCCCTCGATGTAGAGGTTAGTAGAGACGCGGAGGGGGCTAGACGAACCAAGGGAGCCTTGCCAAGATAAACCTGTTTATCCCACAAATGACCATGGATCGATGGACGTGGGATAACAAAGACGGGAACCCGTGAGGGTAGACCAGTTCGTCCCTGCGAGTCCTTGGGTACCGAACGTCCTCTTCGAAGCAAGAGACGTCGGTAAGGCTAAAAGGACCACGGACGAACGAAAAAAGGGGGGAATCTCGATGTAGATAAACCTGTTCCTCCTTGCGATGTCGGCGGACACCGAACGTCTCCTCGAAGTAGGGACGCCGGTGGGACCAGGGACCAAGGACGAACAAAGACTAAAAGACTCCAAAAAAAAAAAAAAAAAAAAAGAAAGATGCCAGAAGAGCACGGAGCAAAGAATGATTTTATCCCTCGGCGCTATTGGCCGGGAAGTACAAACTGAAAAACATATGTAAAAGAATAATTACAAAACTTAAGTACGAAGAATGAGGTGGCCGACGACGATCGGCTAACATCAGGTTTTCTTTTGTCTTAAACGACGAATACCAGCTCCCCAGATCAGGTAGGAGGGACATCGCCCGGATTTATTTCAGGCTCACCATTCCTTCCCGGATGGAGTCCTGGCAGACGATCGGCTTCTCACAGCCAATCAGGAGAGAGACTTGACACATCACCAGCACGGCCGAGGGCCGCGAGAGGCCGAGGGCCATGAGATGATCATCACTATTTTTCTGTATCACGATCGGCCCCTCAGCGCCATCGTGTTCAGATTCACGGTTCGGTTCGCTCATTCCCTCCAGGATGGCGGCGACCGTCTTATGCAGCACGATCGGCTTCTCAGCGCCATCGTGTCTCTTTCACGTTCGGATCGCCCCATTCCCTTTAGGATGGCGACGACCGTCTTATGTGGTACGATCGGCCCCTCAGCGCCATCGTACCCAGCTCACGTTCAGCTCGTCCATCCCCTCCAGGGTGGCGACGAACGTCTTATGCATCACGATCGGCTTCTCAGCGCCATCGTGTCTCTTTCACATTCGGCTCGCCCATTCCCTTCGAGGATGGCGACGAACGTCTTATGTAGTGCGATCGGCCCCTCGGCGCCATCGTACTTGGCTTCACGGTTCGGCTCGCCCATTCCCTCCAGGATGGCGACGACCGTCTTATGCAGCACGATCGGCTTCTCAGCGCCATCGTGCCTCCATTCACGTTCGGCTCGCCCATTCCCTTCGAGGATGGCGACGAACGTCTTATGTAGTGCGATCGGCCCCTCGACGCCATCGTACTTGGCTTCACGGTTCGGCTCGCCCATTCCCTCCAGGATGGCGACGACCGTCTTATGCGGCACGATCGGCTTCTCAGCGCCATCGTGTCTCTTTCACGTTCGGATCGCCCCATTCCCTCCAGGATGGCGACGAACGTCTTATGCAGTACGATCGGCCCCTCAGCGCCATCGTACCCAGGTCACGGTTCGGCTCGCCCATTCCCTTCAGGATGGCGACGACCGTCTTGTGCAGCACGATCGGCTTCTCAGCGCCATCGTGTCTCTTTCACGTTCGGACCGCCCCATTCCCTCTAGGATGGCGACGAACGTCTTATGCAGTACGATCGGCCCCTCAGCGCCATCGTACCCAGGTCACGGTTCGGCTCGCCCATTCCCTTTAGGATGGCGACGACCGTCTTATGTGGTACGATCGGCCCCTCAGCGCCATCGTACCCAGCTCACGTTCAGCTCGTCCATCCCCTTCAGGGTGGCGACGAACGTCTTATGCATCACGATCGGCTTCTCAGCGCCATCGTGTCTCTTTCACATTCGGCTCGCCCATTCCCTTCGAGGATGGCGACGAACGTCTTATGTAGTGCGATCGGCCCCTCGGCGCCATCGTACTTGGCTTCACGGTTCGGCTCGCCCATTCCCTCCAGGATGGCGACGACCGTCTTATGCAGCACGATCGGCTTCTCAGCGCCATCGTGCCTCCATTCACGTTCGGCTCGCCCATTCCCTTCGAGGATGGCGACGAACGTCTTATGTAGTGCGATCGGCCCCTCGACGCCATCGTACTTGGCTTCACGGTTCGGCTCGCCCATTCCCTCCAGGATGGCGACGACCGTCTTATGCAGCACGATCGGCTTCTCAGCGCCATCGTGTCTCTTTCACGTTCGGCTCGCCCATTCCCTTCGAGGATGGCGACGAACGTCTTATGTAGTGCGATCGGCCCCTCGGCGCCATCGTACTTGGCTTCACGGTTCGGCTCGCCCATTCCCTCCAGGATGGCGACGACCGTCTTATGCAGCACGATCAGCGCCCCAGCGCCATCGTGTCTGGTTCACGTTAGGGTCGCCCATCCCTTCCAGGATGGCGACGAACGTCTCTTATGCAGCACGATCAGCGCCCCAGTGCCATCGTGTCTGGCTCACGTTAGGGTCGCCCATCCCTTTCAGGATGGCGACGAACGTCTCTTATGCAGCACGATCAGCGCCCCTGCGCCATCGTGTCTGGCTCACGTTAGGGTCGCCCATCCCTTTCAGGATGGCGACGAACGTCTTTATGCAGCACGATCAGCGCCCCAGCGCCTTCGTGTCTGGCTCACGTTAGGGTCGCCCATCCCTTCCAGGATGGCGACGAACGTCTCTTATGCAGCACGATCAGCGCCCCAGCGCCATCGTGTCTGGCTCACGTTAGGGTCGCCCATCCCTTCCAGGATGGCGACGAACGTCTCTTATGCAGCACGATCAGCGCCCCAGTGCCATCGTGTCTGGCTCACGTTAGGGTCGCCCATCCCTTTCAGGATGGCGACGAACGTCTTTATGCAGCACGATCAGCGCCCCAGCGCCTTCGTGTCTGGCTCACGTTAGGGTCGCCCATCCCTTCCAGGATGGCGACGAACGTCTCTTATGCAGCACGATCAGCGCCCCAGCGCCATCGTGTCTGGCTCACGTTAGGGTCGCCCATCCCTTCCAGGATGGCGACGAACGTCTCTTATGCAGCACGATCAGCGCCCCAGTGCCATCGTGTCTGGCTCACGTTAGGGTCGCCCATCCCTTTCAGGATGGCGACGAACGTCTTTATGCAGCACGATCAGCGCCCCAGCGCCTTCGTGTCTGGTTCACGTTAGGGTCGCCCATCCCTTCCAGGATGGCGACGAACGTCTCTTATGCAGCACGATCAGCGCCCCAGCGCCATCGTGTCTGGCTCACGTTAGGGTCGCCCATCCCTTTCAGAATGGCGACGAACGTCTCTTATGCAGCACGTCTGCCCCTCGGCGCTGACATGCCCGGTTTATCGATGAGAGACACCGCTTTCTATCACATCTCACATTCTTTCTCTCATACATTGCACTCATACATTACATGCATTCATGCATTCATGCATCATACCTCATACATTCATACATACACACGTGCATCATGTTTTGACAGTACCGCGACGTCGGGTTGTAGATGCATGGACCTCTAAGCTTCTCCGATTGGAAAGCTCGAGTCAGGGTCCTCTACTCTCGCCTGATGCATTCAGGGGGAGCGTGCCCGTGGAGGAGCACCTTTCGCCCAACCCCGTCGGGAAGGGGGGTGCCTCACCGGCAGATTACGTTCAGGAGTGCAAACAATCACTCATATATTATGATTATGTGAAGACACAGTTTCTAGCAAGACAGAGGAAGAGCGCAGGCAGAGTATATTTTCTCGAGCAGATTCGCGAGCTCACTACTCAAGAAACTGGGGGACTTGTGTTGGGATATATTATCCCGGCCTATTACTGTTCAGAAGCCCAGGACATCATCCAGTACGGAGCCCGAGCAGCTAGGCCCATTTAGGCCCAATATTGGCCCGTTTGGCCCATTAGGGTGGGGAGCCCCTTCTCTCCTTTCCCCTATAAATACGGAGCTTAGCCTCCATGTAAAGGATCTTTTTTCCTTCTTCCTTCTCCCTCCTTAGTTAGCTTACAAGACTCCATTAATGGGAGCTCAAATTGTACTGTGTAATGGTGAGGAGAGTCCTAATGAGAATTGAGAGGGCTTGGACATTAGCCTAAAAAGTCCCGTGGTTTTCTCCCTTTCGGGTTTCCACGTAAAAACTGAGTTGTTCATACACATTTATACATATATTTACTATATCGTGTTGGATAAAACTCAACAGAAAGTAAAAAAGGCTTTGTTTTGTTCAAAGAATTTGAGTGCAATGACAAGGAATGGTAAATTTATTTTTAAACACATGATACATTTAGGAAGTTTTTAGATAGACTGGTTTCAATTCTAAATCAGATAATATCCAAGTAGAATTAAAAAGACCAGATCAAACTAGATGGGATCAAACTCGATCATACCACACTTCAATAGTTGTAAAATACATACTCCGTATAAAACGGCATCTAATAGACCATATCGGCATGACTAAAACATACGTACTTTCTCAAAGTATGACTAGAAGAGTATGTTTCCGATTATATGACTACAATGCACGTGTGCGACAACGGAGCGGTTATAATTTAAAATTAAAAGACCACAATGTCCTTAATTAGTCATATGTGGAGAGTCGAAACTCAAATGGAAATTAAAAATTTGAAAAGCAAAGGCGGTGAGTTCTTAAGGACGGACTGCACAGCATTAATGCACTAGAGAACCAGAAGGAAACATCTTCCTTGTAGAACAGTACATCAAAGATGACGACCGACTTCTGTGAGTTGGGTTTGAAGAAAAGAAGCCGGCGATGGAGTCGATGAATGACAATGGCATACAAACAGAGGCGGTAAGTGCGAATGACGACACCAATTCTACTTCCGACGCCAATATAATCACAGTCGACGGCATGGTAATTTCCAACCATGTTTTTCTAATTACGTTGCCTTTTCATTGATCCTTTTCAACCTGCATGTCTTCTGCGTATGATTGGAAGGGCTGTGTGAGGGGAGAATGAGATAGACTGATAGAGTAGGGCATTATGAGATGTTGATTGGAGAAAGCATAATATTGGACAAAGGCATTATGTGATTTTGATAGAGTGGGGCATTATGTCATTTTGATTTTGATTTTGATGGAACAATGAGAAAGCAACGACAAGGGCATGAATGAAAGGGTAACTGGGCTAACAAGTGAAGGGCAGTGGGCATTAAGGGTAGAATATGTATTACATGATAGTGGGTAGGGCAGTGGTGATTGGGGTTAACTTAGGTCAATTGAGATCTTTAGGCATTAATATATGCAGTAGAGGTAGTAATGTCCAAGGTAGTAATGTCCTGGAGTACAAGTAATGTGCTGAAGGTTTGGGTCTATTGTGTGAATTTGAAGACAATGTAAGGGCAGTAATGTGTAAATGAGAAGAGTAGGGAAGTAATATATAATTGATTAAAGAATGGCAAGGGCAGTAATGTGTAAATGAGAAGAGTAGGGCAGTAATATATACTCTGTAAGTGATTGGCAGTACGCATTAAATTTAAGATATGGAGTACATGATAATGGCTAGGGCATTGTGCTTTGGATATATTGTAGTTCCAGTGATATTAAAGGCATTAGTAAACGAAGTAAAGGTAGCACCAACCTGGATGGCAGTGATATTAACGTTTTTGAATGTGCAGGAGTAAAACCTCTGCAAACCAACACAATTGGAGATATATGGAGTAGATATACTTCCCTGGTCAAACTAGTGTTGAGCGCAGTGAGACCGGAAGATATGACTGAATACCGGGTCAAGATGGCAACCTAGTTGTTAATGCACTTTGGAGTTTTAGGGTAGAAGTTTATTGAAGTACTTGTAGAAGTCTGAAAAATGTTGTTATGTAGTACCATAATACTGTTGGACCTATTCTGACAGTAATTTGAATCGTGCAATTACTTATTTGGATGTAAGAGGAAATCATTTTGGGATATACGGAGTATATTACTACGTAAATATTATGGGTGTAAGGTAAAATGATTTTTAGTGTTGACTGATTTGTGTGGGAAAGGGTGGAATTGTGACAAGTATTTTTGTGAGTGAATGGGAATAAAGGTGGTATATGCACATGTGTACTTGAAAGGCAATAAGCACATGTGTACTTGAAAGGCAATAAGAATGCAGGTCAGTAAGGCATTGACTCTCCGTATAGACAATAATAGCAGCAGGTATATAAATACATTAAAGGCAACAGAATGTGTAGTAACGAAATTAAAAAAAATGTTAACGAATTCAGGAAAAAAGAAATGACCTAGGGAGTATAGGTAGGGGATTAAACAATTAAGGTGTTAACATCCATTCGTCAATGCAAAAAGAAAAGCAACTTTATAAATGACAATAAACATGGGCAGTAAATATTTAGTGTTAAACATGGACAGTAAAACATGAATATTAACATACAGAAGGCAATAATGCGCACTTGAAATGAAATTCATAATTTAATATGATAGTATAAAGTGTTTTGCTCCATGAAGAAGAATTAATGTGTTCCGCATGTACGAATACGAACGCCCAAATAATGAAAGAGTTATCTTTTATTCATTAATCCCTAATTTTTAGGAGGTCCCGTAATTAATTCAGCGGTTATTGCTCAAAACGGTTATGAAGCATGATTCCGTGCGAGAGTATTACGCCAAAGACTCAAAAGCTTAGCCGTGCCGTTTATTTTGGGATGAACAGCATATCATTAATTAATCGGAAAAAAGGGCACTATTGGGATTGACATGAAAATTAAAAAACACGTGCATATCCGTGATCATGTGCAAGTCATATAATAAGAATAAAAATCCATGCAGTCATACTATAGGAAAGACGTTGTCTTTTAGTCTCACGCTGGGTAATTTTCTCTTTTAACAATTAGACATTCATTTTGTTGTACAATATTTGGCAGTTAGGCACACATTAGGGTAACAACGGTGGGAAAGACGAAAGAGGAGAAAAGTTAGGAAAGGAACGAAGAAAAAGTAAAATTTGGAAAAGAGCAAGAGAAAAATATAGGGAAAAAATGAAGAAGAAATTGAAAGTGGTATAAATTTCCGAGAACAAGAGAGTACTCCTTTACTTCATTTAGTGTGCTGGACTGCTGGTTTCAGAACTCATAATGAAATTCAAGTTACTTATTTTCCTTTAAAATGCACATATGGTACAGCATCAGAT